CAAGGGGAAAATACTGGACTAGGAAATTCTTCTTCACCTAGTGGAAAAGTACATTTTGTCAGAAGAAAAGCTAACGTTGTGGAATTTCTAAATTAATTGTAGTCTTCTCCTTCCTTGTTCATAGGGTAGTAAGTTAATGGAACAAGCCCCTCCAGTAAGCTTGGTAGGTCCTTCAGCTGTCAGGACAGTGATTCAGTAAAGCCTGCTCAGTACTGTCATTCACAGTAACAGTCACATTTAACTGTGGCTTACAAAGCCAGACAAGTTATTAGTGGTGAAAGCATGTGGGTATGGGGTGATATTGGGAAAGAATACTAATGATATATTCTACTTGCCTCATGTGGGAAATTCCTTTATGTTATATAGGCTTAAAACATGTGAACGTTAGCTGGAAGTAGTCTTCAGAAAGGCTTAGCACCTAAACTTGTGGGTATCTTTATTAATACTTCATTGGCAGAGATGTGCCTTATTTTAGTGTCACTTCTGATTTTCAGTTTGAATGGTTTTCTGTAGTTCCATGTGGGAGGCTGACTGCTGGTGTTTTACAGCAATCCTATTTCTCTTCACGCCATCTGTAAGTATGTATGTTAACTATCCTTTGCTGTGTCACCTGAGAAGAATACAGAAGTTAGCAAGGCAGGAGGCTTAGAATTTGATGATCTTTCAGGCCCCTTTCCATCTAAGCCATTCTGTGCAGTATTGCTGTACGTGTCTATATGTACAGCAGTCATATCATGATTATATGCATTGTTGATTGTATACCTGTTACGTTATGCAGAAGCTGTTACATTTGCATAAATGTCAGGTTTAGCAGCAACACTATGGAAAAGAAGTAGGCATAGTGGAATGATATGAGGAGATAGTATAGTATTTAGTTTAAAAAAATAATAATTAAAATACAGTGGAGTAGTTCAATATTTTCCATCATTTTACATGGGTAAAAGATACTGTCTCTAAGCAGAAGTGAAATTTCCAGAAGAAAAATGTTTTACCAGATTACTGTTTTAACTGGTAGCTGGATTAGGGGATGAAATGTTCTTTTTCTTGCAGTTCCCTTGCCTTTCTTTAAAATCTGAGAGATGCTCAATTCTTGGCCACTGGCTGAGCCTGAAGATTGTGTGTTCAATTTTTTTTTCCCTCTTATGACTCTGATTTCAACAACCAGCAAAGTGAAGCTGAGAGGTTTCCATGGTTTTACTCAGAGTTCAGATTCATTTATATTATATAAGAGAAGATGACATCAATTTTAACTGTTGTTGCTGAAGTATAAGGCAAATTCAGCAGGAAGGTGGATTTTTGTATTGTTGTCAGACTACAGTTTTTTCAGGGCACTGATTGAAATCAGATGATTATGTGCACTAAAAATGGTTTACAAACAAATGATCTTACTGGTGTTTACATGTCTTGGTACTTTGATCTGTCTGTGGGAGTCTGTGTCCTGGGTGAGCTTGGAGCTCTTTTCAATATCTATGGTGCTTCTCGCTTCAGCTGAAGAAAAAACTGAGTTGCTTATATTGTGACTTCAGTGCGAAGACAGTTTACAGTCTGGCATATGGTGTTAACGTAAAATTGGCAATAGTTAACCTTAATATGACAACCTGTAAACTGGTAATTCAAAAGCTGCTGCTAGGGTAGCTTGTATCTGCTTACAGCAATAGCAGCAGCACTGCTGAAGAATATGTGCCAGCAGATAATAATGCTAAACACTGCAGACACCCAAAACGGTCTTTACCTGTGAGCTTGGAGTCCTTTGTCTGAAGTAAGGTGAAAGACGAAAGCACTCAATTTTTAGCCTCCTAAAGGGGCTCTAACCAGTAGCACTGAAATGTGGCATTGTCAGCTAATGTTGTCTTTATTTGAGGAACAGAATGGAATTTTCAGCAAGTGCATGTGGTTCTATATAAGAAGAAAATATTATCACACGAGAGGTTAAATGTTCAAGGAAGATCTAGAGGTTGCTTACTTTTCCAACAACACATGGATATGTATACTTTTTTCTTCTTGGCAATCACAGTTTATAAAAAATACAAAGAAAAGGAACTTCTCTTCCATTAAGAGCCTCAATTCTCATAATTTTGTAAGCTGTTTATTTTTGTTTTCCACAAATGCAAGCAGTCTTCAAAGTCTTTTTGCACCATTGATGTGGTTTGTTTTCTGTACATAGTGTAAAACTGACATACCTCTTTTCGAAATTATATACACCCTGTTTTCCAGTGAGTAATATTTGCATTAAAAGACTCACTGGACTTTTTAGGTAAAGATTATATTTGCTCTCACATGATTCCATACAGAAGGGAGATGAAATAATTGGTGCTGATCATAAGAGCAAGCATGAGACACAGCTGATTTCTTTGAAATAGCTAAATGTGCAGTTATGTACTTTTTTCCTATCTAATTGTAGTGAGAGCTGCAGACTCTGCCTGTTTTTCATGTTAGAACTTGGCTGAAAACAGGATATCTGACAAAACAGAACTATACTTTCTTTTACCTTTTTTACTGATAACACATGAAGTTAATTGTGTTAATCTGTCAGGAACACAAGTAGCCATGCACCGTGTTTACATGGATAACTAGCTAATTAACAAGGTTCTTCCTTCCAGGACTTCAAAAATCCCTGGCAGAAAACATAACAGAAAAGTTAACTGGCAGATTCATGGGTTAAAGGGAGAAGGGGTTAAGGAGAAAAAAAAGAGATGATCTTAGTTACTGGATGTGTGAGATGTGGGTGTTTGAAGTATCTTACCTGTTCATTGTCATGGTGATTCTCCTTGGTTCAAATGTCATGCCTTGCAATTAATCCCTATTATGAAATGCGGCGTGTGCTGTGATGTTACTTTTTTTTTTAGTGTGATTATTGTCTGTGATCTGTTGCCTTTTTAACATGATTATTCTCCAAAATGAAAATTCACTTCATCCTTTTCTAGTTGAACAGTCTATAGTAGTTTTTCAGTGTTAGCCTGGGCTTCCACTGTATTTAAGGACTCATTTTGCTTCTTAGGTAAGGAACCTATTTTGTTTTACAACAGCTTTAATGACCTTTTGTTCATTTCACTGTTACTTTGTTCTCTCAGATCAGTTCAAGGATGTAGATACAGTTTTAACCCAGTCAGTATCAGACTCCAGTGTTTTCAACATAGGAGAATATTTGTGCTTACTGGCCCATTAATAACTGTTACTTACAGCTTTTCATATGCATGGGTGGCACCCTAGAAGGGAATATCAGTATATCTGATATACAAGAGCAACCATGCTGGATCAAACCACAGGCTGATCTAGCTCAGCATTCTGTCTAATGGAGGCCCAGAGTATTTAAGGAGGAATTAAAGCAGGGTGTGTGAGTGCTCCTTCCTCTCTCTGAGTGCTTGTATAGTAGTCCTGTTTGGCTGAGGGCTTTTCTATACCCAGTGGTGGTTTCTATGTTTTTAGTTCTTATCTGGGGATGTTTTTTCCACTGCCTTCTTTTTGTGAAGTAGTTCTTTAGCATGCACACCATTCTTTGACAAGTTTCAACATCTTATGTGGAAAACCTTTGCTTTATTTTGAATGTAAATCTAGGTATAAATACTGCTGAGAACAGCTGTAACTGCCAGAGTTTTGGCTTGGCTAGGCTAACACAGGCTGTGCATTAACATGGACTGACACACAGGCTTCAATGCTCACCCCTGTACAACCCAACTGCTTAAACTATTCCTTTTGTTGATCATTGCAGCTATGGAAAACCTTTTACTGAGACACTGGGTTTTTAAGGGATGTTATGAAGCTTATTGAAATGAAATTGATGTTGATACAAAATGTTTGATATTAAACTAGGACAAGGTGACCTGGAACTAGGACATCTTGATTGTCTTGCTGAATACTTGACTGTGATGAGGCCTATTATCTGTTGGCACAGGGATTAGTGCATGGATGGCATAGTGCTGTCCCTGTGAAAGGTTGTAGTCCTCTCTTAAGGGGATGGAGAGGAAAGAATCATCAATTAAAACCCCATGTCTCCCACCAAAAAGAACCACATTAGAGCAATCATTTAATTGGGGCAAAGCAGTGAACAGTGTATTAATCACCTCTGAAATATCCCAACCTGTTGTAGCTAATGTTTTTTCTTTCTGTGTACAGTGTATACTTGTTAGGAAAAAATTGTTGTCCTTGCCTTCTCTTTATAGTGCACTTGATCCTCTAATGTTGTAGCTCTTATTAGAGAAGATGGTTAAAAAATAAGTTAAAACTGTTTTCCACTGCTGCTTACTTTATTCCCTCCTCTCTTACTTCTATTCTAGGTTTTGGTTTGCTTAGCTGGACCTTGCAGCTATCTCATGCTTTGAATCATTTTTATTGACTTTTTCTGAACCTTTTCCAATATCTTTAAGGAAGGGATCAGAACGTCACAGAGCATTTGGAAGATAGACATAAAGTAAAATGTAGAAATAAAGTAGAAGATCTTCAATTTTATTCTGACTTCTCCTGGGTGTTGAGTTTGTAATTTCATGATATTCAAGTATGCCTGGAATTAGTGCAGTATTCTTTTTAACAAAACTGGTGTTGATACTGCATCTGTGTTCATACAGCTTATGTACGTACGGAGAAGATTTAATGTGCATGAAGCTGGGAAGTAAGCTTAATGTATATGTGGCACAACTAGGGAGATGTACACCTGATGGTGCAACTTGAATGTGGAAACCAAACTGCAAAATTAAAGTACTGGCCAGAAGTGAACAACCCTAAAGCAGAAAAAAGCAATCTAACAGATGAAGACAATATCTTTACATGCACTTACATAAGTGGAAAATGATTTTAGTAGCAGAATTTTCACTGTTGCTGTAGGGTGGAGAAATAAACATACGGAAAGATGTTAAGCTGGTCAGGCCATCTTTCTACTAAGATCCCACATCTTCTAACCAGTGAATTGTAATTATACTTTTAGCAGATTGAAATGTGAAGAAGGGAAGTGTTCTACCGCTTTTTCACCTTTGCATTGTTTTGTTATCTTTGCCTATCCTGTAGAGGAAAAGAACCAAAAAAGATAGGAAATAACTAATAGCTAAGAAACTCAGAAAATGAAAGCAACTTGTTCTTATGTATACAGAAAATAGCATACTTTCATTTCAAAATCTCCCTTGCGTGATTAGTACAGTAAAACAAGATATTTTTTCCTGGGAATGTAATGTGGCCAATTTAAAAAAGAAAAACAAACAAAAATAAAAGTCTCATGGCTGATAGCTCTATATAGTCTGATCACAAGGGTTTTCTTCCACTGTCACTGGGGCGTAGATCATGAACAGTGTGATGGACAAACCTGGAAAGAAACCTGAAGAGAGCAGTCTTGTATTTTGGCTGGAGATGTCAAAGTAGCTTTTAAGGACTGAAGACTTATTTTTTTGTATGTTTTATTTTTGATGTTACATGTTAGTGCTGCACAATGTCTTCATTATTTGATCTTTTAAAAATCTGTTTCTTTCTTCTACTCTAACATTTTGCCTGGCAACAGGGAGCGTTTGCTCATATTTCACTGCCATGCAGTGAAGTTCAGCTGTCCTAAGAGGGGAGTCGATCTCAGAATTCATCACACAATGTGTAATGCGGCTGTATGACCTGTTTTACTGCATTGTTTGCTAGTTAGGTTTGACTTCGATTGTATTCTGTGTTTAACCAGTGACAGAAAGCACCACTGGAAGATATACCATGCTGTAAAAGCATAATTCAGGTACCTGTGGTTGGCCAATGAAGCAGCAAGCTTGTTAGGCTCAATCCTGGAATAAAGTATTCTCTGCTGGGTGAAAAGAATTGCAAGCAGAATTAAATCACAAATTTGTAGGAAACAAGTAGTTATGAAAAAACAAAAGTCAAATTAAGAAGACAAGCGATTTTCTTTCTGTGTAATGAAATGCAGATAGAATAAAACCTGGAGTGTGTTACCATTAAACACATTCCTCTGGGCTTCCTTCCTTGACTTCTGTTTTGTTGAAGGCCCCATCTGCCTTTAAGTACATAACAGGATATGTTATACATTTGTTTACATTTGCATTATGTTTAGTCTCAAATGTTCCTGCCCTGGTTTGTCTCGCATTGAAGCTTTTGATGAGGTGGCAATGGAAACAATAACAGTCTTGTGTACTGTGGCTTGATACAGAGGTAGGGAGCCTTTTGCCAATACTGTTGTGATTGAGCGCCGGTTTTACAATGAATGAAATAAGTTTGGGTTCTGTAATTTGGAAAAAAAAAACCCACAAAAATGACTGTGTCTGATTTGAAAGTGCATGCAACTGAACCTTTTCTTTCTATTTTTTCTTCCTTGGGATTGTACCTTTAAGTTATTTTACCCTGGACCTGTCTGGAACTGGGAGAAGGCTGTTTGTTGTTCTTGTATTGTCTTTAGTTTTCCTCCTGCTGTCCTTGTGTGACCCAGATAAGAAAGCTTAAGTGGTTTTGTACTGAATGAACACAGACTGAGGGGGCTGCAGGATCAGCACACTGAGACAAGTTAGGTAAAAACAGACAATAAGATGGCAGAGTGATTTGATCTGGGCTAGATTGATCGCATGGATTAAGAAAAGGGTGAATGAAAGAGGAAATTAGAAACAAGGCAGGAGAATAAAGTAGGAAGGAAGAAGAATGAAAAGAAAAAGAATGGGAAACAATAGAGTTTGGGACACTTGGTCTGTTTAGGTACCCTGTTATAAGTGGATGCTTTCATATGTATCCGTGAACTGAGGGTGTATATGGATTAAATTAATTTCAAAATTCCAAATACTAGCTGTTTTGTGAGATAGCTCTTGTGTAACATTTTCAAGATAACATTATCTTTTAGCTGTTGAAGGAGATGCTTTTGGTTTGAGTAATAAGGAAGAAAATGACAACAAGAGTCACCAAAATCTTTTGCATCAGTCACACTGACATCTGTAATTATCTGACACATTTTTGTTACCTCTTGTTATTTAAGATCAGCATCATTAGTCTTACACCGTGTATTTGATAAAAGACCTGATTTTAATTTTCATCACCTGATGCAGTGAAATTACATGCTCTATGACCAGAATAAATCACGTAATTGAGGGAACAGAAAATGTTTGCTTTATATGTAGCAAGGTGTTTGGCTGACTTCTTAGTATGATCTTGTGAAATGGTGCTTCACAATTAAAATTCTTTCTCCAGCCTTGGCTAAGGAAGCTTTTGTAGCTTTGTAATACTTCCCTTCTTTCTATCAGCCTTGGTCTGTCAGCTGAAAGCACCTTTTCCAGGGTCAGTCTGATCTGGCTGGCCTCTAACTTGTTTGTATATATTCAGATCCTATATCTTATGTGTGTTTTTCTCTCTCTTCTTAAGAGGAAACAAAAAATGTGGAAGAGGATTCTTCACTGAGAATTTTCTTCATTCTCAGTGTATTTTAAAGGCGTGTCGTCCAAATATGCTGTGATATTTCCAGAACAGTGGACTTAAAGCTCATCTGCAAAGATTGATGTATCCAAGTAATGTTTAACAATAATACCTGCCTGTTGAGAACAATAGAATCACTCAGGTGTATGAAGTTACTTGGGCAAGGAGTATTCTGGGATAGGGGCCTTAGTGTGTAATTGTTGTGATGAAATCTCTTTGAAGCAAGCTGCTGTATGAACGTGCTGCTCTGGGTCCCAGGTACACCATTATAAGGGGTCTCAGTCATTGAAAATAAGGCGATTGTAAAACTAAATGTATGCTTTGCAAGAAGTGCTCCTAATGTTATGTACTCCAAAATACTTACTTAATTACAGGCACCATTTCAATGACTGCCATTCTGGATTTTGCTGGTCTTCACAATGGGAATAACTGATGCACTTTTTCAAACCAGGTAGAGAAAAAATATTTTGGAAGTATTAAATTGTATGGACTTCCAGAAGTGGGGGAGGAAAAAGACTGTCTTGCTTAGATCAAAGTAACTTGCAAAATATATATTTATATTGCTTTGTTGTTTAAAACAAAAATAGTCAATAATAAAACACCTTTCATTGTGGTGTAGGGGATGGAGTAATACCTGCCATGGTAGTGGGTATAAAGAATGAGAACACAGGCTGCTGGGAACCGAGAAGGGAAAAGGACTGTTCTGCTTTAACACTATACAGAGAACTGTATTTGGCAGCTTAGCTACTAGCAGTGAGCTTGGAAGAGCTTCTGCAAGTTAGTATTAGGTAAGGTCTAAAAAATTTATGAAGCAAGCACAAAGTTGTATCAGTTTTACATTGAAGACTTTGATGTTATTTTCCCCTATATCTAAAGTTTATCAGATACAGCTTCCAGCTGGTCGCATCTTCTGTCTTTACCAATTTAGTCTGGATTTTAGACTTCTGTGGAAATACTGCCTGTGCCTCAGGGCAGTGAAGTTCAGGTTAACAGGCTGCCCACTGCTCTGCTGTCGTGTGTTCTTGTTGTCAGTTCAGAGGCGTTTGGTAGCGATGATCTTCCAGACTATGTTAGGTGAGTTATCTGTAACCCTTACTTCATATTTTCTCCGATGTGGAGTAGAACTGCAGTCAGCGTGTCGTAAATGCACTAACAGCTCGTTCTGTAAGGGTTTTTTTTTTTTTTTTCAGATTACAAAACCTGTTGCCGTAGTTCTCCTGCTGCGAATGACTTTTTATTAGAGCCCTATAATAGGAGTACAGACTCCTTCTAGTTACTATTGAGGTACGGAAGTGGGGAGCGCAAAGATTTCTTGCATTTTCAGACCAAAGTCGCGTGGATGATTTGGAGTCGAGAGATGCCTTTACTGCGGAAAGTCTGGGGTCTCCTGTGGCACCAGAGGCGGTGCCAGCGGCACAGTGCCGGAGCCGCGCTCCTTCCGAGCGGCGGGAAGCGTCCCGCCGTCTGCGGCACCTGCGGGCTCAGGTAACGGGCGGCGGCGGCGGCGCTTCCCGCTGACGTCAGGCGGGCGGGGCTCGGCCGGCCGCTGCGCCGAGGCGGCGGCGGTAGGCTGTGCTCGGCCGACATGGCGGCGGGGCCGCGCTGAGCGCCCGGGCGGCCCTTCCGTCGGCTGGCGGGAGCAGCTCCTCGCCTCCATGGACGCTTCTTCCGACCCGTACTTGCCCTACGATGGCGGAGGAGACGGCATTCCGCTCCGCGAGCTGCATAAAAGAGGTACGGGGCCCATTGCTGAGCGCTGCGGGGGGAGGCAGCTCGGGTCCGGCGGGAGCCGGCGCCGCACGGAGGGCGCGGCCGTTCCCGTCTCGTCGCGCGGAGCGGAGCGGAGCTGTGGGCGCAGCGGTGGGAGCGCGTCGAGTCGTCAGCCTTCGGCCCTCCGATAGCCGGAACGCGGTGCTCGTGTCCGCCTCTGGAACTGCCCTGCGCGCTCGCAGGCTCGACTCGCCGCGGGTTGCAGCGCGGCGGTTGTGCCGACGGCGCCGAGCTCTTACACAGCCGGAGCTTGCGGCGGTTCCGCACGCTGTTGCTCGGCCAGGAAGCCGATTAGCAGCAAGCCGGTGTTGGCAGTGCGGAGAGAAATCCTCTTTTGTTGCCTTTTGTTCCTTACTGCGCATTTCGAGCGGAACGCGTTTCCGAAATGGTTGGCTTTGTAAAAGGGGAGAAATTGCAGCAAGGATGACTTACAGTTACGTCTTCAAATTCAGTTCGAACTGCAGAGCACGTTATTACACAGCGAAGCTCTGCAGATTATAGCTTGATGTTTGCTGAAATGTGACCTGGCATCTAAACAGCACCTAGCTTCTAAATAATCTACAAATTCTGTCATGAAAACAGCTGGGGCCAGACTGAGTGTTCACACCTTGGTACCAGCAAGAGAACTGCCCACTGTGACATGTTGCTTTTTGCAGCTTAATTGATTTCTCTTCTACTTCTAATGTTCCAATATAGTATTTCAAAACCAGTCTTACTGGTGCTCTTCTTCTGTTTGCTATAGCAAACTTAGAGGAAAACCAAACAGAACTCCATAACTGTCATTTTTTGCCATAATTTCTTGCAAATCTGAATTTGTTGAGTGCATGTGACTCATATGAAAATTGATTCTGCACACTTTACAGTTTGTGCAACAGATTTCATTAAAATTTGCTTGTACTTCCTGCTGTTCTATAATACCACAGTAATTCCTGTTACTGTCACTTAGCTGCCAAAGCAAGGCTCAAAATGCCAACAGATAAAACCAGAAACTTAAAGTATTCTTAACGTTTTTTATAGTACCTATGAATCTGGAATGAATCATTCCCAGGGTGTTTTTCCTTGCATAGTTCTCAGAGCGTTGAGTAAGAAGCTAGGAGAAAATGGGCAGATACTTAGAGAGAACAAGCCTGGTTGTTCAAGCGTGTGGAATTTTTTTCCTTTATTCACATGCACTACTTAAGTCCTTCAGAATAACGTTCATGTCTTGCAAAACTGCTTTGTAACAGCAAAGCATTTGTTGCACTAATTGACTGCAGCAACTTGCCCACAGTGCTGCACCCCAACCATGATGAAATGACTGTTTAACTCATTAGGGGACTTGAAGATTTAATTAACAGACTTTACTAACATTTGATGAAGAGAAATGTAAGGTATTATTATGTCCGATCCATTGATTTCATTATGATAAGATAATTTTGTTTTCTTAATGCAAATATGCCATGAAAGATCAAGTATGAAGATTCTTAGAATATATATTGATTAGTTGTTGATCTTTTCCTTAAAGAGCAAGTAGTAAATGAGAGGGGTGAAAAAATGTAACAACGTATAGAATCATAGTATGGCCTGAGTTGAAAAGGACCGCAATGATCACCCAGTTTCAACCCCCCTGCTATGTGCAGGGTCACCAGCCACCCCACCAGGCTGCCCAGAGCCACATCCAGCCTGGCCTTGAATGCCTCCAGGGATGGGGCATCCACAGCCTCCTTGGGCAGCCTGTTCCAGTGTGACACCACCCTCTGAGTGAAAAACTTTCTCTTAGTGCCTAACGTAAACCTCCCCTGTCTCAGTTTAAAACCATTCCCCCTTGTCCTGCCACCATCCACCCTCACAAACAGCCGTTCCTCCTCCTGTCTATATGCTCCTTTCAAGTACTGAAAGGCCACAATGAGGTCTCCCCAGAGCCTTCTCTTCTCTAAGCTAAACAAGCCCAGTTCACTCAACCTTTCCTTGAAGGAGAGGTGCTCCAGCCCTCTGATCGTCTTAGCAGCTCTCCTCTGGACTAAGAGCTCCACGTCCTTCCTGTACTGGGGACCCGAGGCCTGGACGCAGTACTGCAGATGGGACCTCACAAGGTATTACTGGGTACTTCTTATCTGGACTCTATTTACCTTGCTCTGTCTTGATGCTTTATGTAGTTACTGAGCACCTTAGTCTAGGCCTCATTACCTGCTGTGGTATACTGAAATATAACTGCAGGAACTCAATTCTAGTTTTGTCTTTGGTAGTTAAAAGTGCTATTTTTCTCCTTAGAAAGCATTTTGCAGTCCTGATTTGGGTTTGCATAGATGAGAATTAGCTGATGTACAAATTTTCAGAAGAATTTGTAATATATGCCACTTACTGTAGTATATATTGTATATGTTTTTTCTTTTTTGTTACTCAGTTGTTTCCCCTGGGGTGTATTTTTGTTATTCTTCCTAGCTGGACCCATTTGATAGTGTCCAATTATCAACGTCTTGCTGATCTTCCAGCCATTCATGGACATGTTAGATTTTCATCCCTTTTTATTTTTCCCTTTTCCCTCCCTCCTAAATAAACATTCACTTTACCATCCTTTAAAGGTTTGAAACATGAGCAATCCATTCCTAGCAGCCAGGCTGTCAGTAGTAAATCTGAAACTCCAGCAAGCTTGGGGGTTGTTAACCCACTTGTATTTGTTATGTATAACTAAACACGTTTTTGATTTTGGAAGTCCTTAATCCAAATGAATGAAATGCTATGCTGTTAATAATTTGCAGTTGAGCTGCTAGCCTTTTAAGATAATAAAACACGCACGTGAAGAGCAGCATACCAAATTACATCATTTTAGTAATTTTTTTGTCAGACAAAATGACTTGCAATATACTTCATTTGTTGTGCACTGAGGGTCCAATCACCACTGCATGAAAGTGGGGGTCACAATATTCCACTGCTCCCAGTACGCCATTAGCTGTGGGGAAATCTTTGCCATGTTCTGGTGTCTGGAAAGCTAATGAGGAAATCAATATTATGCTCTTCTTGGGCCTGAGCATGCCCTGACTTGGAATAATCGTATTAGCAGAATTCTTGTTTTTGTTGCATCCTGTCTTTCCCTTCCAAAGGAATACGTAAGTAGCTCTTTATGTGCATGCAGCAGCATTTTGGAATCTGATTATCTAGATTTTGGTTGTCTTGACTCTGTTACCTTAGAGGCTACATTATTTTCCTTTTGTAATGTTTGCTGTACAGAACTTCACGTATTTGCATACTTTTTTTCTTTTTCCTCTGCTGTCCATCTCATTTTTAATCAGTAAAGTTAACAGCATGAGGATCCCTATAACACTTCACTTGTGCACCTAAAGTCACTGTTTGTTACAACATGGGCTCCACTCTCTGTGTAATTCAAGACAAAAGCAATCTGTAATAATAAAGCCTTCTTGTTCCTCCTGCATCTAAGAAATGAGAACTGATTCTTCCACCTGAAGTAAAAGTCAAAGCTATTTGTATTTTTTAACATGTGCTATATAATGAGCACTATTTTACCACTTTGCCTTTTTCTCAGATTCCTGTGTGCTTTCAGTGCATCCAGGTCTACAGAAGTCTTTGCTTCACTCTGAGGTGTCCCTATACAACTTTCTTAGCTCCTGCTTTTTAAAGACTTTTTAAAACTAGTTTTTCTTCTCTCCTCTCATTCCCTCTGGGAGAAAATCATCACTCTCCTCTTTGTAAAGCATTTGGATTATTTTCTTTCTTTAAATCTTGTTCAGTGTTTTCCTGGTTTCCTGATATTTTAGATTTTTTTTCTTCAGCTTGTATGTTGTAGTCATTTTGTATGAATTTTGGTTGTAAAGCAGAGAGCAGTTTGTAGCTGGTGAAACACGTGATTTGATGCAGTTTAGGAAATCAACCTAAAGAGGCTGAAAATTTGTAACTGTGAGCAAAGGGTAAAGTATTACTTGTTTACAAAGACTTAATGATCATTGATTATCAGTGGTAGTGAATGACAGTTTTTAAACATATCCAGGGATGGTGACTCAGCCACCTCCCTGTGGAGCCTATTCCAGTGCTTAACAACCCTTTCTGTAAAGAAAGTTTTCCTGGTATCCAACCTAAGGGGAGCCTGGTGCAATTTGAGGCCATTTCATCTTGTCCTGTCAGCTGTCACCAGTGAGAAGAGACCAACCCCACTCTCGCTCTCATAAGCACCTTTCAGGTATTGGAATAGAGCGATAAGGTCTCCCCTCAGCCTCCTCTTCCCCAAACTAAACAGCTCAAGATCCTTCAGTCTCTCCTCCTAGGCCATATTCTCCAAGCCCTTCACCAGCCTTGTTTGGACCTGCTCCATCACCTCCGTGTCCTTTCTGTACTGAGGTGCCCAAAACTGAACACAGCACTCGAGGTGAGGCCTCATCAGGGCTGAGTACGGGGGCAGGATGACTTCCCTGGTCCTGCTCACCACTCCATTCCTGATCCAAGCCAGGATGCCATTGGCCTTTTTGGCCCCTGGGCACACTGCTGGCTCATATTCATATATGACTGGTCGCCAACTGGATTTACCTTTACTGATCACAACTCTGGGCCTGGCCATCCAGCCAGTGTTTCACCCGGAAGAGCATATGCCCATCCAAACTGTGGGCAGCCAGCTTCTCCGTGAGGATGCAGTGGGGGACAATGTCAAAGGCTTTACTGAAGTCCAGGCAGACTGCATTGACAGAACGGCATACTGTGCTTCTCATTCTGAAATTTAGAAGTTATTTCTGGTCTGGAAAAGACAATAATGCTTAATGCCTTTTCTTGAGTGATTACTGACAAATTTAAATAAATTGTCAGTAGTTTTTTTTTTTTTTTTCTCCTTTCACTGAAAGTCTTCTATTTTGAAGTCTGAATATTGATACAAAAAGCAGCTCAGGCACTGCAATGTACCTTGTGCATACAAATCTTCTTTGTTCTAAGTGTAAACAATCCTTATGGTGTACACTGCACCCAGGACTCTTCCCTGCCTCCGT